AAAATAGATAAAGTTCATTACAGTTGTATGTACAGTTTATTAAATACTTGTCAAATTCACTTGTGTTCAAACATCTGTGAATGTTGACAATGCAAAAAGTTAATGAGTGTAGCCTAGATTAATGCCTAGATCAATGAGATAGATTAGAACCAACAGAGATTCAAAAGCATTTAAAAGCATTTTGATGCATTTGTGTATAGCACAAAAACAGTATAGTAGATATTTTTGAGAAGTTTAAAAGCTGTTGATTCGCCAGCAGATTAGAGAATCAAACCCCATTGTAGAATAACTGACCCCAACCCCAAACCTGCTCAAATAGATTAGCTCTTGTAAGGATAATACTAATTTGATTAAAGATGTACATTCATCCCAAACTGCCTGACAATAATATCTTTAGATAATAAAAAGTAATAAATCACTGACCACTATAGAAGTGTAAATGTTGACCATTTGTCTTACTGTGTTCACAGTTTTATTCCTGAGAATGTAGAATAGACAGAGAGCAAAATCCCACTAACAATAATCCACTGATAATGAGAGTATAATACCACAGAGAGATTTATTAGATTAAAATATATGTTTAAGAAAATGGCTCAATAAAAGCAAATATGCAAACATATTTGTAAATAGATTAGAATAGTTTTAAACTATACTGAATCATAAAAGTAAAGTACACAGTCTAAGATTGAAAAGTGATAATAATACAGTGAAATAAGTGTAGTGTAAACAATTAGCATTAGAAAAAAGGTATAGAGTAAGAAAAGTTAAATTAGCTTCTAATTTGAGACTCAGCTCGTTTTTGTCTGTGTTTTGACTGAATCTGCTGAGTTCTTGTGTGTCCAATAGTTTTTGTTTGTTTTTATTTTTCTTTGTTGTTTTTTGTTTATTTATTTACTTTATTTTTGTTTTGTTTTTTTCCCCAGGATAGAGGATAAAATCCACTGATATTGATTTTGATGATTATGAGTTTAATGCATACATTTTCTTTGTTTAATAATTTTGTAAAGTTTTTTTTTCAGATTTTTTTTTTCCTCCACTTTATTGATGATTAAATTGAGTGATCACATGTGATTATGTGATCAAAGGGGAGGGTGTTAGTATTAGATAGCAATATGGCCTACGTGCAGGACTGTACAAGGACTCTGATTATTTTGACTATGATGTGACTGTCTCTGTGTGACACGTATGTCTTTCGATGTGTGACGTGACAATGACTATATAAACTGTGTATGGACTCCATTCTGTCTGAGAGAAAGAAACAAGGGAAACCACTGGAACTTGAGAGAAACTTAAATAAACTTCCAGAGTTTGGCGCACCACGATCCGTCTCTGTCTGCTTCATCCCTGACAATAGCTTTGTCGTAACCTAGCTATGAAGCCTGTGGATATTCAGTCAGGATAGCATCCCAAACTCATCGTTAGTGTCCTTGTCTCTTGCTCTCTCTAGCTCCTTCTTAAGCCTGGTTCACACGGCAGGATATTTAGGCCGATTTAGACCCGATTTACCCCTTACGACAATCTTAAGAAACGCTCCGATTTCCGTAACAAAATCTTACAGATTATCCTGCCGTGTGTGGTGTGTTAAGACTGCACTCGTCGCTCGGAAGGACATCGGGACTGCTCCCGATCTCAAATCGGGGATATCCAACATGTTGGATTGTTTTGGCCCGATTTCTTGTCGTGTGTGGTGTCCTCCGAGGACAAGCGAGCGCGTTGCCATGACTACGGCGTGTAGCCAATAAGAAGACGAGGTGACAAGCCGGTGAGGAAACACCGGGAAAAAACCAAAACACAGCAGCATGGCTTTGACCATTGCCTTTTCTTTGGATTACGTGTCTTCTCTGTTAACAACAAACTGCACACTATCGCAACTGCATTCTCTTCGTCCGCCATGACTGTTTACTCTGAAGTCACGCTTGATCTCGAGATATTTTGTGAGATTTCCGTCTGACCTGGGAATGCTCGGGGGGGCGTGTCGGTTCGTGTGTGATGTTTGTGGCTTGCGTGATCTTGCCGTGTGGCTACGCACCACACACTGCACGACCAAAGTGGTTAGACGCAGGATTTTTAATCTCCCCGTGTGGGGTCTAACACGGAGAAAAATCGGCCGACAATTTTAAAATCGTCTCGTGTGAACCAGGCTTTAAATGCACCATCTGTTTTTACCCTTTTAAATCAATGCATTTTTTCTTAATATTCATTTTGGTATCATATTTTTTAATATCATTTGTGATCAATAGATTGATGTAAAGATCTCCCCCCACAAACATGATTTTCTGATTTATGCCTGCAAAGTACTCCATCTATATGTTCTATAAATACAACTTACAATATTTTCTTTTAAGGCTTAGCAGGTTATTTAATGAGACAAAAACATCCTCAGCCTTAAACATAAGAAGACAAAATCAACTTTTTACATCTAATATTTTCTGTTTTTCTTTGCAATTTCTCTTAGACATTCATGTCATCTACCACCATAGACTTGTCTTCAGTCGCTTTAAAACCGTAATTTGAGGCTAAAAACATTGTATTATGAGTGTATAAGTATGAATAGAAGAAACAATCAGGGTGTTGTTTCTTCTATTCATACTTATACACTCATAATCTTTTATACCAAACTCTATTTATCTGTATATGAATCCATGTTTCGATTAACTCACCTTTACTCACTAAAGACACAGTGAATGCAACAATATCTGAACTCTGAACATTGTAAAGCGCTTTGAGTGACCTTGGTCTGTAAAAATGCGCTATATAAATAAACATTACTTACTTCTTCCTAAAATTACATTGAATGGGAGAGAAAACTGTTCGGGCCCTCCTAGTTGGAGTAGTAGGAGCATTCTGGAGAAACAGACCTGGGTTGACTTTACCGATGCAGGAGGGTCATGATCCAGGACATTTATATATATTGATTTATGGAAAATGGTCATCTGTCCACTATGGACCAACGACTCCTATGTGTTTGTTATCCATGCATTTCTTGTGTTTGAATAGTTTGATTTTTTGATCTGTGTTGGCGAATCCACAACTTTGTGATTTAGGGTTATAGGAATTGATTATGGGAGCCTCTCATGTTTTAATGTTTTCCCCCATATCTCCTCCTGAAGCTCATCTAAAACTCTGTAAATTAAAGTTGGGGTACTTATTTTTTTAGGTTTGGCATATTTCTGAGAAACACTTAAAGGAGCAATATGTAAAAATCTGGCCAAAAGTGGTACTGCAGTCACAGTCAATATTTTGTAGTCCTCTCCCACTCTCCCTGACTCAGGTTGCCAGATTCACACCAAATCCAGCAGCAAACACAGGGAATTATTTTATCAGTTGTTTGTCCGTCTCCATTCACATGCCATGACAGCCGTGCTAATGCTGAATGAATGTTTTGATTCATGTTTTTTTATTATTATAATTTGGACATTTGAGATAAAAAACAAAAACAAAATAAAAGCAATGTAATTATACATAGTTTATGCAAAATAAATAAGAAATTGATGTCCAAAATAGGAGTGGGAAGAATGGATGTTGGAACGTATTTCTTCAGCGTATCAACATCAGGGTTTGCTCAAGAGGATATCACCTTTCAATTTTATTTATTCCCTATTTTTTAGACAAACATGTAAAAGTCCCACATCAAAAAGAGACTAACATTATTTTAATGGGGTACATGTGGTCTTAAATGATTATTTTTACAATTAAGCTATAATCTGCAAAAAAAGTCTTGACCTTCATCTTTTACCGTTTTTAGAGCAATCTGTCATAGAATGTGATAACATGCAATAAATACAAAAAGACATAGCCCGGGATCAAACCCGGGTTCCTGCATCGTAAGCGCGCAGCTTAGACCGCTAGGCCACCGATTCACACGAACAGAGACACCGTGAAGAACGGAGTCAAACTAGAAAATTCTGCATCACACGTAAACTTTTATCAGCTGTCTCAATTGTTCAAAGGCATCCCGATTATATCCTCGTTTTAGTCTTTGTTTTGTCATTAATTATTTGAGAGTCATAACAAGACCTTTTTTAGTTCTGCGCCACATGTTATTTTACCAGTGAGATGAATGAGCCGCGCGGAGTTCTGGCAACCAGATCACGGACTTACATGACACTTCCTGATTGGCGAAACGGCGGAGGGTAGGACATCAAAATCAAAACAATAACAACTTTTACGGGTCGTAAAACTAATTTTGATGATCAAATATCTCGGCTGAACTACTGTTATCAGTTAAAGATGAATTCGAAAAGAGTATGATTTAATAACGCCTTTTGAAATATTCGGGTCATTTAATGATGACTTGACATGCAAATATTACATATTGCTCCTTTAATATTCTAAACTTTTGTACATAAGAAAGCAGTAGTACAAATCTCAGTTTATTGCATGGGGTTGATATCATTCTTTCAAAAGCACTGAGCAGTGGACAAAAACAACATTATTCATTCAGTTTATATACTTGTGTATTGGCTCGTTTATCGTTCTTACTTTACAAATGTATTCCACTTTTATAAATGCATTAATAAAGCTTGATTATTTGAAAAAACGATTGAACGAAAAATACACGGATAATTCTAGGTCTCTGCAATATAATTTCAATATGATCGTTATTTGGGTTTGGGTTATTTCATATACAATCTATGGTTATTTCTCACATTTACCAGTGAATGGACAGCAGATGGCCCTAGAGCTGCGTTGAAGTAGCGGCAGAGTGTAGCTCCTCTTCTGGGGCATGTGGTCCGTCCTTCCTCCTTTGGACTGACCCAAGCTCCACGATAAAAAAAAAAAAGAAGAAGAAGAAAAATCTAACATCGGCAGAGCTTGGAGATGCACCTCCGGACAGCCCGCTTAACACGTACACAGCATTGCACTTTTACCGAAAAAAAATGGATTAAAGTTTTAGGAGTGAACGCAATGATCGCGGATGTATCCTCGCAGTGCCTTGGAAGCCTTGTGCTCTGGCGTTGACTTTTATATTCGCTTTTGCAAACACATCTGCTGCAACGATGCGGGCTGCTGCTGCTGCTGAGGACCGTACGCGCTGGAGGACCGCTGCTGCTATTGTCCTTTTCGGATACTTTTACTCCACTTTCGCCAAAACTGTGCAAGAGGACACCGCGAGTCAAGGTGAAGTCCTTTGTGAACTTACTTTGCTTTGAATGTGTGCGTTGCTTTGTTTGTTGTTGGCTAGTTTCGCTGCTGTGTCTGATGCCTTGTCCACTGACTGAGCTAGCATTAGTTAACATTAGCCAATTAGCTTCTGGCCCATGAACTGCTCCAAAACTTTAGCCTGTTTATTTTGTCATTTCTAATTATCGAAAAATGTATGTGACATTTCAACAACATGTGTGATGATTTTGTAGTTTTGTTCATGCGATTACGTTACGTATTTATTTGTGTAAAAAAAATGAACTAGTTTTTTGGCTTCTTTTGAGCAGCGTATGTGATACTGCTAAAACATAAAAAAACAAAATTAAAAAAATAAAATCTTTTATTCAGTTTACGCAAAATAATAATACAACATATTTTTGCCTGGATTTTTGGTTTTATTCAGAGTTACATAGATTTCTTATTGAATATTTCCCACAGGTAAATGGCTCTTTTTGTTTTACTTTAATTGCCCTTTGAAGGTCTAGTCCAAGTGTGGATAATATTATCTTTACAATTTAATATTTTCGAAATACTTTCCCAACTCGATTAAGATATTTATAAATACGTTTTTATCGACCAATTGATCTACTGGGTATGTCTTGTCGACCAAGAATGTATTGTTTAGTCGTCCTAAACCCCTAATTTCTTATTTATTTTCTTGCGTGCTACGAAGCTACTAGTTCTAATACAACATTTGAAGATGCCTAATTATGTCACGTTTGCACACTAAATACTATTATCAATACTTTTTAAAAGTGAGGATAAAGTATTGATACTAGTTTTAGTAGGTCGTTGATACTTTTGACAACGTTGTCAATATAGGGTTTAGGGTTAGATTGAGCGTGTGTATTTGCACCAGCCAAATCAATTAAGACTGGTTAGACTGAAAATAGATCGTTGGTGAACTACTTGGATTCACTAGTACTTTGAAGTTTCTCATCCATCTCACCTGCTAGCTATTGAAATAAAAACTTTAAAAAAATGTGACCTTAGTTTAGCTATGCCCTTGGTTGTGTTTTGGTCAAGAGGATTTCTCCACTTGCTGCTGTAGACATGCAGTTTGGAGCCAGACACAGCTACAGATATAGATCTCACTAACATTACTGCAGCCCATAATAGGCATGGCATTCAGGCATTGCAAGCAAACATTAGTAGATACCGAAAAAGTAAAAAGCTGTGTGTAAATTGGCTAATAAGTAAATATAATATTGTCATGGTTTTATTTGCACAATAAGACCATTATTGGATCTTAAAAGTATACGTTTTGCATGTCTAGTCTCTGAAGACAGAAAAAAGCTGCGTCTTGACTATGGTCTTGACTTGCACAAAGCTTTCACAGGTTCATTAATGAGATTTGGCAATGGGGGGAAAATGGCAAACGTGTGCAAAGACACATTGTCATTGCAATTCTATTCTTGTCTTCTTTAAATCCTTTTCTACATGTAATCATATGAACTCTCTTTAATTAATTAGATCACTATCATGCATGAACAGTTTTGCCTTAAGTTCTAACTAGTTTTTCAGAGTTTTTTTCACTATCAGTTCGAATGATTCAGGAAATTGGTCCATAAATTGAAATCACATGGAGAGTTGTACAATGTCTCAACTTGTGCTTTTCAGTGCCTGCTGGTCATTACACTCAGAGATTATGATGCCAGATGATCTCCCCCTATCACTTGTGCCATTTTGTTTAGTTCAAAGTTAATATGAATTGTACCGGCTGTTGTAAGTATTGTAAGAATGCCTTTTTGTGGGATGAGCTGAGTGCCTCCCCCCTCCATTTGGAAAAGCCCCAAGCCCCCAACAACACACCCAGCACAGGCCGGCCATGCCATACATATCCAGTAGATCCCACTTTACTCTTATAAATGAGAATGAAATATGTTGGCTTGACCCACAATGAATACATACTGTAGCATGATGTGTGTAATAATAAAGGCAAACAATTAAGGACAATTGGGATTTTTTTCCTAATGTACACTCAAGATCATGCTTAAACATACATTTAGTTTGCTTAAAATGTATAGTAGTAGTGTTAGTGTTTGTATCTGCTTTTTGATATTGTTGACTAAGATTAAACCATTGTCGTTTTTAAGTTTTATTATCAAAGTCTAGAACTAAATGATGGATTTTTATATGAAACAATCAAATGGTCAGTCTATGTTAAAGCAATATACAGTAGATTTTTGCTGATACTAAGAATGTATCTCTTTGTTCAACCTGAGCTCATTTTACAATGAGACTCCCTGCTGCTTTAGCTGCTGTTGCTCGCGTAATTGGTTTTGGGGCGTGCTATTGTATTGGCCACACTTTCCCCAATGTCTAAGCTTCCATATGGTTCTCAAATCCTGAATATATTTACGAGTAGAGGCCAGTTACCGAGCCCCTCTCTGAGCTTGTTTAACAATGATGTCACCCAAGATGTGATTTATTGACAGAAGAATTGGGAGGGGTCCTGTGCATTTGCGTGTATGTGTTTGTCAGTGGGAGACCTCTCTGGGGACTGTGCTTTTAAGTGTGCACAGCTGGGAGCCCAAGAACAGGACAGTGGGAGTGGGATAGGAAGTGAGGTCACCCACTCTTCTTCGAGGTGCTTCTTTTAAGGCAGAGAGGACTTTTTGTCTAGGGGAGGTTCCACCCTCTAGTGCTCATGTCATAATGATCAAGGAATGTGAGAGAGGTCCTCCTAACGTAGTTCTATGTTTGATTAAGAGTGGACTGGAGTGCTTTAGAATAGATCATTAATAATTCTCTGAAAGTGGTTTATAAGAGTGGATTTGACATTTCACTTTCTGTCCCAGTGTTTCCTCTGTTTGTTCACTTTGTGGCTGCTTGGGCTCTCGTGGGGGAGGGGACTTTGTCTAGCCGGAGTTATGGATGTACAGACGGTTGGCCATTCAGTGTGTCACAGAGGCTGAGGTTACAGAAGAGGTACTGCTCTGAGGGAGGAGCTACTGCAGGTCTGGGAGTAGGAAACTGTTCTGCTTTAATTGAAGGTCATCATGGGTCCTACCTCCAACCAGTGATCAAACATGATCCTCATGACTGTGAGGTCTGGTCTGTGTGGAGACCAAACAAACTGAGAGGCTGTTTGTGGACTCTTCATTATGTCAGTGAGTTAATAAACTCTTGCATCCACAAAATATAACTATACATTTCAGTAATAGATTCCAGCGCAGCTGAAGGTTGAAAAGTTCTCAGGCTGATTTTGATCACTTGACTGAAATTGTAATACAAATACTTGTAATTCCTAATAAGTAAACATGTTTGTTTTCTAAAATCAAGTCTTCTTTAAATATAACTGGGAACCATAAACATTCCAATATAGAACGGATAAAGAAAAATGCGACCATAAAAACAGCTGAAAAAGGTTCCTGAGCCGTGCAACCATTTAATGAATTAAGAATGAAAAAAATCCTCAAAGAATGTCTTGTATGAAATAACGGGGAAATAGGATCTGGAAAAGTACAGATACCAAAACAATTGTCTTGCAAAACTAAGGTTAAAGTTTAGTGACAAAGGTTGTGCTTTCAGAAGTACATACAAAGGTGTCGGTGTATTGTTTTCATTTCCGCTCCAAAGAATGATTTCCTTCTTTGAAGGAAGAAAACAGTCTATTGTTCTGAGGGGAAGTGTGGTTGGCACCAGGTCAGGAAATGGTCAGACAGCGTCCCGTTTTGATTGGCCGTGTTGTGGAATGCTGTCTCCGCAGATCGAAGGAAAAGGGCAGCTAAAGCCGAGCAACTGAAAGAAGTGCCAGTATTTCACAGTGCAGGTTTCTGATGGAGCTGGGGATGTGCTGTTTGCAGAGGTGACACTGAAGGTCCATCTGAGTGATGCCCACACGCACCAGCCCCTGGGTGGAGTCACTGTGCAGCTATTTGCCAACCACAGCCTGGTCGCCACGGAAACCTCCTCCGCCGATGGGAACTCTCACCTGCGCTTCCCGTACCGCCTTGGGACTACTCTGGTTGTCACCGCAACCAGTCCAGGATATGTGCCAAACTCTGTACCATGGACCCCCGCGAGACTGCCTGGTAAGAACTCAAGGTTGGGATTTAATTATAGTTTTGTTTCATTCATTCATTCATTCAGGTTGAGCAGTTTGTGGGAGATCAGGTTAGAAATGTTAAGTAATATTATACATTGAAAAAATATTTACCTGGTATCGTAACTTTGTGTTTGATATAGAAATATCTCTAGCTTGTTACTTTGTGGCAGGCCTCGTCATGGAGCCTTCACCATATTGACAAATGCCTCTCAGAATGGTAAATGGTGGTGGTAAATGGCTGTAGGAGGCCAATAGGATTATGATGCTTACAAGCCCTGAACAATAGGAGACGTGCAAGGAAATAAAGGCGATCTGCTGGGTCAGACTTCAGGATCAGTCCATCCATTAAAAATGTATTAAGGTTGTTTAATGCCTTCTTATGTTTGATGTCTCTCATTAGGCCTCTCTGACTGACTTCAACTGCCTGTCCTATCTGAACCATGTGCTGTTGTTTGTCTTCCAGTATTTTCCTCCATCAGCCTGGACCTGCTGCCAGAAAGAGCCGCTTCTCTGATGGTCTACGATGATGTTATTGAGATTGTTTCAGATTTCCATGGTAAAAATAATTGCTTTATCTGATATATGCATGACAATAGGACCTTTCAATGGACAATATACATGTTTATTTACTGGCTGATAGTATCCCAGAATGTTAGTTTTCACTTTTGCCCTAGAATGTTTGAGATTTAACTTGTACTCATACAAAGTTGTTCTGAAGTAGGGCTGAAATAATTTATCGATTAATCGACGACTAATTGATTATTGAAATAGTCGACAACTATTTTAATAATCGTTTTCTGGTTCACACAGACTCAAACAGAGCAAAAATGACATGAAAATGTAGTATTTTTGATTAAAACCGACTTTGTTTTTATAATTTCATGAATATGTCTCATCCAATCAGATAGCAGAATTAGAAACAAAGAGCCTGTTACAAACATTTACTTTAAGTTTACGCCATCAATACGTCCTCGAGTGTTGCCACTTTAGCTTTTTGTGATGAAAAAATATTTTTTTTCTACACAATTCACAGCCAAGCGATTACTCGATTAATCGTAAAAATAATCGGTAGATTAATCGATTACAAAATAATCGTTAGTTGCAGCTCTATTCTGAAGTGAGTTACTTAGAACACTCTTAAATTGTGTGGTTATTATTTTGATATGGCATGTTTCTTCTAATTACATAATTGGTGTAGTCCCTTTGCCCACTGAGCCTATTGTGTGTATGACTGGAGTAGGATTAATTGAAGCTGTCAGCTGGACTTTATCAACCTGTGCGTGTGCTCTCAGACGGCCATAAAAAGCTGATGTGTTATATACACAATGCTCACAGCGTGTGTCTGGGGTTAACTCAGTGTGAGTGCGATGCCCGAGGGGGCGATAAGGCTCCGCGTGTGTCATCAGCACGGAGAATAAAGGAGAGGATGAAGCCAGTGTGGAGAACAGTATCATGGGTGGAGCTGTTGCTTTAGGGGGATGGGTAATGTTCAACAGAAGGTGCAATAGACCAGACGAGGGAAAGTTCAATAGGATTATTCCCCCAGGGCATAAAGGATCCACTCTTAAATTATTTCAACTGGAACATACAAGCCAACAAAGGTGCCTATGCTTCCAATAGAGTAGAACTGTATTGAACAATGTGCACAGGATTTGTGTTTCACTGCTCAGGAATGTGCACTTGGCTCAGTCAGACTGTAGTGACATCACCCTCTGCTTACAGCTCTGTGCTTTTGTACCACTCAGCATTATGAACTGTTGTGTTTTTCGTTTTTAGTGTTATTATGGTGGCTGGCGATTGTGGATTGTTTTACAACTTGCTGCCTGGCATCCGCTTGAATATGCATTGTACACCATTACAGATTCCACAGCTATTCCGGGGCATTATGACTCACTAAAGCCATTTTTAATATTCTTATGTTTTGTTCTGCAGGTTTCAAGGGGCAGCCAAGTGTCCAGTTCCTGCGCAGAGCCCTGAGTCTTCCTCCAAACTCATCATATTCCAACCTGACGGCTTTGTTCACTGTGGCCAGCTCCTCTTCAAATCTGCAACACTTCCCATTTCTGCAGGGCCTGCGAGGCAACGGGACAGGTCAGGCCTATTGTCCAGTGTCAAGAGAATGGACACAAATTATACTTGAGCCTAGGACTCCATTGAGTTATATGAATACAGACACTATTTTTATAACAAGCTCCCCTGAAGATGGCAGATTTCACAGCTTTTTATTCTGCCCACTTTTCTTGGTGGGATAGAACCAGGTGTTATTTATAGATTTATATCAGTCAAATAAATAATGCTGAGTTCTAAAACGCCTCCCGTTTTGTCCTTAAATTCAAACACAAGAAAAGCAATCACGTGACCGTTGAAATGATCATTTAACAAGAACAATAGGTTGGCTTTTATTTTTACTTGTTCCATTCGATTCAATTTAATGTATTCTAACTGTAGTTATCTCGGAGGACTTTACAAAACCGTTGAATTCGCCATCATGGATCAGAGAATCAGACAGTTTCTTGAGTAAATAAGAGAGTGGTCCAACCTGAATCTTGGGTCCCTCCTGTTCCACATCCTCGTCTTCAGCTCTTCATAAACTCTCTTCACAGCGTGCATTCTCGAGAGCTGCGGTTAGTGACACTTTCTCTTTAGTTTGTCTTGTTTTCACCTCCACCCTGTTTCCTTCTTTCTGGCCTTTCCTTTGTTTTCTTTCCTGCCTCCTGCTGCACACGTTCTTCTTTAGTTGCTGCACTTTTGTTGTCTTACTGTTTTCTCTGAAGTTTCTGGTTCCATACACAAGTAGTCACTTTTTATTGCTGATGCTTTTTGGTAATTCATGTCCCATACTCTATGCTCTGTAACTATCATACTATTCATCCTTCTTTGGGCCTCTACTTACAGAATTGTGCCCTAAACGTGTGTTTTACGGATACTGGACACTCATTCGGGATAGTCTTAAATGAAATCTCAAACAGGACATTTTACCACTCAAATCAGTTTTAAAATGATTCTTATCTATATCATAAATAGTAAACAACTTTCAAACCACAACAATTTAAATATGTAATAAAAAGTTAGGTTCTATCGCATACATTTATTTTGTTGATTCACATTTAGTTTGTTTGGCCTCTGCCACATCTTTAGATAAACTTTTAGAGGGAAAAGTAAAAAAGATGGGACAACCCTCACTCAGCCAATCAGCTCTCTGCCCAAAGCGTTAGAACGTGACTCACGGGTCTCTTCTACAGAAAATATTTTTTTTTCTAATCAGATGAAGACGGCATGTTTTGGTCAGATAAGAAAAATATATTTTTAAAGTCGGGTACCACAGCGAGTCTTTACTGTGGCGTTGAAATGTGTATTGCATATTGAGCCTCTTGATTTTAGTACAGAAATATTGTTAATGCTGTTTTTCTTGAACCCTGTTGGTGTGTGTGGCTGTTGCAGGGTCTGAGAGGAGGTTCGACTTAACTCCCATTGCTGCAGTCTCCGTTCATTTATTGTCCGGTGACGGAGTGGAGCTGCAGGTGAACGAACCAATCACGGTCTCTGTCCCACTGCCCTCAGACAGCAGCCTCAAAGAAAACGAGCACGTCCCGGCCTGGAGGTTTGACCCACCATTAGGTAACTATGTACTTTCTATTTGTTCCCTATTGTTATTTCAGCCTGATGCGGTCATACTTGTCAAAACCCTTTAAGCAATTTGAGCTGCATCATTATTTATGAGGATTGTTGTATTATGGTAATTTGAAGTCCTTATTTTGACAAAAACACTGCTTTGTGATTGAAAATGCTGATATGATGATTGAATAACGTTGACAAAGAAGAGATTAAACTTTTTCTGATATTGTTTCATGTTGAAAAGCTTTGTCTGGATTGAGATCTGTTCTCACTTTGTGTTCTTACTTCTGTGTAAGAAAGTAACATTTGTCCATTCTACTTGGTACTAAGAAAAGGATGATGTCAGGATTTTAACCAGCTTTCTGCATGGAGATTTTCTGTTGCAACAAAACATGAAATATAATGGTGCCTTTTATACAGTAAGTTTAGTTTTCCTATTCCCAACACTTCTCCAGGCTAAGTCTCGAGTTTCTTAGCAACTGGGCCACATAATTAACGCATGACCAAAATGATACAAACCGTTTTTCATAATAATAATCAGATTTAAATGTGCTAAAATGGAGATTAGATTGATTTTAATAGGATTATTTCCCTCACATGAAAGCTTTGTAGTTGCTTGTTATACATCTGTACCGCAATGAAGTGGGTACATAGAAGTCATCCAAATAGTTTGTGAAATGTATAGTAAAAACCAAATAGTCTTTTATATCTCGGCGGACAAAAGGCGAACATAAATGATTATACCCTGAAGATAATTTTGACTTGCTGTTATTGAGAATGAAATTGAGGTCAGCTCCTTTAGGCACATTGAATACTGTCTGTGCTCTGAATAAAGCACAGTCCGTCACCTGTGTTGACTTTGCTCCTTACAGAACTCACAATGTTCATGTTGGTATTGTGTCCGTGGACTGGACACACACTCAGCAGCAGTATTGTGCCAGAGGCGTGGGAACATGGATGCCTCTAGAGAAGGGGTTCTTCCCTGTGGAGAATCGTATGAATCCCGTGTCAGGCCTGTGATCCCTCAACTAAAAACAAAAACAAAACAAAAACAGACTATGTGATTGTTACGATTTCAGCACTAGCTCTTGCACTCCACCCACAAAACAGAGGGAGTATTTTCTACCTTTTTAAAGTTATTGTCTCCAAATAATTTCATAATTTCTAATCCATAATCAGTAATCATCCTACATTACACTGCAAAAATAAGTCAAGATTGCTCAAACTTGGCAAAATTTATTTTAATTTGAGAACATTTCATTTCCATTGGCAAATCCTTGAAACAAGATTTGCCAATGGGACAAGCAAAATTATCTTGTTATTAAAAAGATACAAGAAATGTCTCCTTTGGAATGAGAAATAAGACTAAATGGCTTTGTCCCATTGGCAAATCTTGTTTTAAGACAGTCAGATGGACTCGACATGAAAACCACTTGATTCAAGCTATTATGACCTCATATATTATATTTTTTTGCAGTGTACCTCAAATAGTCCATTTTCTTTAGGTTCAGTAGATGAAAATTATTTGTTATTGGAATGAAAAATATTGAAAATAATACAATTGTAAATTGTACGATTATATGATATAGTAACCTGGAGAACACCATTTTATTTATGTATATGAGAATTCCCATCCTGTTTTGTACCCACTGCTGCCTCTTGCCCGCATGAATGAAGTCCTTAATCTTATTGGGATTTTCCTGGTTCAATAAATAACTGAACGGTAACCGCTGAATCCTGCCCTTCTGGGATGTTCCTGTTTGTATTTCGGTGGTGCTGAGTCACTCTCTCGTCTCTGCCCTTGGAGCCTGTGTGTTTTCACTTATCCCTTTGTGTCCGCTCAGGTTTCCTTTTCCCGGAGTGTTTTTTCCTCTTTGAATACCTTTTTTCTCTCATTTCCTTTTGTCAAAAGATTGATACAGATTTCCGACTTCTGATGTCAACAGTTTATAAACATTTTTACAAAAGCCCGACTGAAGAAGTGTAAGACAAAGAGGCGGTTTCCTCTGTTTGATTATTAGCTGTTGGCAACTTGGCGCTATAATCTGCTGCTGTGGCCTTTCATTAGTTGGACTGCAAACCATAGACTACAATGAATAAGCTGCTATCCCAACAGTAAATTTGACCAAGTCTACTGCCCCTCTGTGGTTGATTTATGAACTGCCAAAGGCCTGATGTTACATGTTTGTTAGAAAGACCATTACGACCTTGTATTGAAATGTCCTCTTTGTACATAAAATATCATGGTAAAAAATTACAGTATAACTCAGACAATGTCATGTATAGCAAATTAAAGCTTACAAAGAGATTTTCTATAATTGGAAAAGATTTACTCCATAGAATCCTACTCAAAGTGGCTTCAAGTCTTGAAAGTTGAGCTGTAACGGTTAATTGCAACTAATTGATTTTATTTCAATAATCTATACCCATTTTAGTATCATTTCTTTAAATATCTAATTAGAATGTCCTTTAGCGACTTCCCTTAAACTTAACCCACATCAAACTTGGATAAAATTCCCAAATCTGCATTTGAGTGGAATACTATAGCCATTTTAAAATGGCTGCATTAGGTCATTAGGTCATGGCTTACATAGTGAATCAGTCGTTACTTTCAATCAATGCCCTCTATATGAGCCATTATTGGGTAAATGTCATTGTTTTTAAAACCTTTTTTGTTTGTTTTAGAACTCTATTCCCAATGACTACTCCTTCGGTTTCCCTCAGTATGTGTTTCTAATGAATTCATATCAACGAAGAATGCTTTGTTTGCAGGGGTTTGGATCAAGAGCAGTTGGGGTCACGTCCAAAGGGAGGGGGACCAGCTCGTCCTGACCTACATCGCTCCTCAGCTCGGATACTGGCTCGCTGCAATGTCACCTCTGTACTCAGGTCAGAGCCTCGCTGACTGCTGTTGGCGGAAATTGGAGTGATTAGCAAATAGTCACTAATAATACAATTATAGAGGGAATTATAGATTATGTTCAGTAAGTAAGAAATAAACTCTACTGCAGGGGGGAACAGGCCTCTGTAGCGGCCAAACTTGCCCTGTGCAAGGTCCGCTGGATGTAGTGTTTGATGGCGTCTCGGACGTGTGCCTCTCACCATGAAATAGGCCAAATACTGTGTTCCACAAGTGTTTATTGCTGTCCAAATACACTATAACAGAGTTGACAGACGACGGTAAAAAGATGTTTTCCTCCACACTACAACACCTGTACATAATTAGTGCCCCACTTATATAGGGCATAGCATTGAGAGGTGGCGCCACACAGTGGCAGGAGGCAGCAAAAGAAAACAAGGCAAAAATGGCTCCAACAACCTCTGTATCTGACAGGTTTAATCATCTGTTCAGTGTCAAATTACTGTAAAAAGTTCAATAAAAATAGACAAAAAAAGTGAAAAAGAGAGGACCACCCTCACTCAGCCCTCAGTCCAAATCATGAAATATATTGACTTACAGGGCGTTTAGATGTAAAGATAAGATAAAATGTCATTTTTTTTTAAACACATGCTGTGGTCTGGTTTGAAAATGTATAATTAAAAAAAAAAATAGTTTGGCTCTCCACTTTTTAATGTGGAGAGCCATTAAAAAGTGATCATTTGTGATCTGTCCACCTCCAATCTATTGATTATGAATGTTTTGAACAGGTCCTGTCATCGCCAAAGACATCAGCATGTACCACACTGTGTTTTTGCTGGCCATCCTGGGGGGAATGGCCCTCATCCTTCTCTGCCTGTTCTGTCTGCTGCTGTACTACTGCAGGTGAGGCAATAGTTATTTTGGAATAATACATTGGAAATAATACAATGTTGATCAACTTTCATAGAATTAAAGTTTCATAATGGGTCATAACAGACCAAAAGAAACCAGTGAACTTTTTTATGTTAAGAATTGAATGAATGTATGAGTCAATAACAATCAAATCAAAGACAATCATAATTAATTTTAATCGTTTGAAATAAATGTGAATATACTGCTGCTCTAATTCTCATAGGAAATGTGAATATTAGTAATTTTAGTTAAGCCCAGCCTGCATTGATAAAGTTCTGTCACAACTGTATTAATGAGGGCAGTAAAACTTGTCACAATCACATAGATCCTTGCAAAAGGCCATTTATTTGGATTGTGCGGATTGTAAAACTGTAATATACTCTATACTGTAAATGTTTCAGGTGAAAAGGAAACCCAGATCACCATAAGTGCTTTATGAATTAGGATGTTTTGTGGTTTGCAGGCGGCGATGCACAAAGTCTCGTGGCTCTCACAGAAAGTTTGTCTTAGCCTCTGGTTTGGACAACAGCAAAAGGGACCAGGCCACCTCCATGTCCCACCTCAACCTAATCAACAAAGAGGTAATTCACATGATGTTTATATTAAGAAAAGATGGACATCATTGGTCTCACAATGGAGAAATGTACAACCAATGAATACCAATGCTTTGGTATATAAGAAAATGTGAAACTTAACCAAGCCCTAAACATGGTCTGGACTCTGGACCAGACTAAATAAATCTCTCTTCTAAACAGGACACCCTAGTGATCTCTGGAGGCTTCCCTTCAGGCTTCTCCTGCTCTGGACAATATGTGTGTGTCAATAAAGTCTGCAGGGGGAGTGAGGGGAGCGGATAATGATGCACCACTGACTGAATATGGACTACGCTACACAACTACTCAATTCTGCTTTTTCCACAAAACCTCAGACCACTCCTGGCTCAGTCCACATGCAGAGTCCGTTTGATTTACCACAGCACACTTTGACTTTCAGTGTGTTTAGAAACTTTTCATTTAGCGCTCAAATGTTGGAGTAGTAATTACTAATAAAGACTGCTATCAGACATCCAGTAGAGGCTTTTGATCAATAGATTTAAATTGGACTGGGCCAGTTACGCCATTCTTTCCATGTAAACTCAGTGAATGCAGCAAGGATCAAACTTGGTGTAAGACTAAGAGCAGCCTTTGTGGGACTTGAGGATAATGTTAACACAATTCAATGCAATATGTGTACTTTATGAGCATGATCAGGATATTCTGATTAAGACTGATGCAATAAGCAGCCATATTCCGTCTTGTGTCCAATCTTGATCGTTTTCATGCTGATAATTTTGTTTTGCTTTACATTGTGCAGATTTAAGGCAACATGACTTATTCCTGAAGGTGGAAATTACCTGCATAGATGGATAATTCCTTAGTCAATAGAAGTACATAACAACTACAGTTCTAAAGTGTTATTGAGGTGGAAGAAGCTTTTTAGTCTCATTTGTCCATGATTGATGATTGTAAATAAAAAGTTGTTTAGGACCGTAAAATACATACATATATACTGATATTGATGTGCTTCTCTTATGAAGTATTTACAGCTAGCTAAGAAGCAGAGCAGCTACTTATATTGTATATTTTGTGTGCTCTTACTACTGTCCTGTAGAATTTCCCCACTGTGGGACAAATAAAGGTTCTCTTACCTTAAGTTTGAGTCATGATATAAGCCTGCTAAGAGTTGGGGCGCATGCTTTTATATATATATTTTATATATTTTATATTCTATTTTTCAGCAAAAAAGAATAATTCATGAAAGAACAAAGAATAGTATTCAAAAATGGTAAAAATGTTTTGTTTTTGAGGTCAAAGTGTTTTGTCTCTGGCTGCATTTATGACTTGGTGTAAAAGTTCGTATGAATATTAATTATATTATTTATGTCTTTGTTTTCCGTAGGTGCAACTGGAGCTCGTGTCCACAGCCACAGAAGCCGATATGACCACTCCGATGCTGAAACCTTCATCTTTCGTGCACCAGGACAATCGCCACCACCCCGGCCTCCTGCACCAAACCAAACACAGCCACTCCTCTCTGGGAAACAACAGCCGCCACGGTTCATCTCTGGGAAACCTCACGCCTCGCAGCAAAGACTATCGGCAGTCCGTGGAGACGTTTCAGCTCAAGACTGCGCTTCCATATGGAACAGACAGAAGTTATCGTCAATCTTACACTTCTGTCTGCTCCTCCACCAATCCGGTCTTGGATAGGCTGTCCAATCAGGGCCTTGTTTCTGTGAACCAGCTGAGTTGTACTGGTAATGTTGACTGTGCTTCTCCCTGCTCCCCTCCACTCACCCCCAGCAGAGGGGAGTCGGCTGAGTGTAGACCACAAGAATACCTCCTTTCCCGCTCGGTGGACAACTTGGAACGCCCTTTGACACCTTCTCTTGCAAGACCCAGCCAGATGCTCTGCTGTGGCTCTGTGGATTTGCTCTGCGGAGGAGAAGGCTACTCCAGAGTGCGCCCCACACTGGTGATCCCTGCTCATTACATGCGCTTACCAGGCGAGCACCCACTGTCCGGTCAAGCGCTCCTCCTACAAACTGACCAACAGAGCGACTTAGAAACCATTCAAGCCGAGCTGAACGCATCTCATTCGCAACAACCTCTGGGACAAACCCCGACAGACTGCCTGCCAGGGTCCAACCAACAGACTGATGCAAAGCGATTGCCGGAGTCGCTGTCCATCCCCGCAGCCATTGGCAAAACTGGACTGGTCGAAATAAACAGCGAGGATACGTTACTGGCTGAAAAAACACTAATGGAGCTCAGAGGAGGAAAGCCACTACCGCATCCGCGCGCCTGGTTTGTGTCGCTAGATGGACGCTCCAACGCTCACATTCGTCACTCTTATATCGATCTACAGCGCGCAGGATGCCATACGGGGCCAGCAGGGAAGCACAGCAATAGCAACGATGCCAGTTTGGACTCTGGCGTAGATCTAAACGAACCCAGAGTGGCAAAGAAAAGAGGGGAGAAAAAAACTGTCAAAGAAAAACCCAAAGGCACCGTGACACCTGCGTCAGTCTATACTCAGCTGGTTTACGTGGACGACACGGAAGTTGCGGCCGATATTGAGGAGGCGTCGCAGTGCGGCCTCCTCACTGAATCTAGTGCAGAATCTTGCCTTGGAGAGAAGGAGCAACAAGCGGAAGAACAACCACTCTCTTCGTCGTCTACTCCGCCTTCTTCGCCTCCGCTTTTGCCCTCTCCGGAAGAAGTGACTTTAAGGACTGACTCGCTATTGTCTCCAGAGGGAGATGCAGCTCCAGAGGACGGGGAAGAGGAGAAGAAAAGCCCATGGCAACGAAGAGAAGAGCGACCACTCCTGTCATTCAATCTGAAATGATGCAGGACAACCACTTTTTTTTTTTTTTTTTACACGTCTTGAGTGTGGGTATGAGAAATATAACTGGGACATGTTATGAATGATGTGTTGGCAGTTTATGCACAACGAAAACTATGCCTTTGTAGATGTATGGAGTTTTATTATTCACATTTGACTTTGCTTGAGCCATATTGGTCTCATTCGGTTAGGTTTTATTTTAAATATTTCGTTTAGACATATTGTTGATGTGGCTGAAGCACTTGCAACGCCCAATTCTCAAGGCTGCATGCAATGAATGTTTACTTGAACTACATTTCACAAATCAAACCACTATTCTTCCTTGCAGTCTTGCCAGCTACTAAAACTCCAATAATTACGCCACTATATGTGTACATGATGTCCAAAAACCACTGCGAACCTGCTTAATATGAAGGTATTTGTAGAAGCTGAACTATTGCTTTAATCACCCTACTATGCACCACTATTAGACAGCTGCTTGAGGTGTTTTTATATTGTTTTTATGTTAATTATTGTGTTTTTAATTGCTGATTCCTACATAAAGTATTTACGCATAATATTTTGTAAAATTCTATGCTAAGGGCTTCTTCTTGTGCACCCATCCTTTCCGGTAAATTGCCTGGACGATGAGCTTGCTGTGATTCCTCAAGTGCCTTTTGAACCAACATCACTTCAGCCTTTCTGTTTTTCCTCTACCTCATGCCGCTCTCATTGCTTCTAAGGCATGCAGTAAACCACGACAATATATAAAAAATTGTATTTTTACTAGTCACAGGTCACACTGAATGTAATCCATCTCTTTTCAACTGTTTATTCTATTGCAAATCAATGGCCTTCCTTCATTTTACAAAAATGAATCTTCAATGTACTCATGCTTTACATTAGCCTGAATATGTAACTCAATCACTTGCATTATATTTGAAGCCTGTTTCTGAATAAATAAATACAACTGCATGTCCTGTTTTTTTTGTATCCCATAACTGTATTCATAATTCTTATAATTAATCCCAAATTATTTATAAATCTAATAATATGGGACAGTGGGTGACAGTAGCTCAGTTGGTAGAGCATTGGCCTTTGGGCCTAAAGTTCGTAGGTTCGAATCCACTACGAGACTTACTTAACAACTCCCACTAGTGACTGCTGTCGTGTCCTTGGGCATACACTTAACTCCACTTTACCCAAAGCCCCTGCTGGAAGATCAAGGCTCCTGTGGACTCACCTCCTGCAGGTTCAGTGAGGGGCTGGTGCTATGTGTACTGGGTGCAAATGTGTACTGGGTGCAGCTTGGACTGCCACCCCCCCGCCCCAGAAATGGATGAAGGGGAAGAAGATGGATGGATAATATGGGACAACATTTTTTTTTAAATAACTTTAATGTAGCCCCAACCATTATTTTCAAAGTGTAGCTCCAGCGTGAAGACTCATTACATACATTCACTAGAGTAGTTTGTCTCGCCTCAGCATGACTCACAGGTCATTAAAAACATATTCATTTAAAAAAATATATATTTTATTTGGGGTTTTTACAAGCTATGAGCCATATCAGCATAACAAAAAAGGCTTGATATCGCACTTCCGTGTAATGAGTCTATTACATATATCTTCACATTGCGAGTTTCACTTGCATACTTTGTGTGCAACACTGGCATTCTAATACGTTTATTTGCGGCAGAAAGCCTGCAGGCGGCGCCCTTCTCCAGACTTCACCTCGAGTTGCTGGTGTGCGTGTGTGCGTGTGTTTTGTCCATAGACCCGTGCATTAACCTGCTGCTGCTGCTGCTGCTGCATTTAAACATCTTGGTGATGGCGGAGGACAGTGAATCTGCGGCCAGTCAGCAGAGCCTGGAGCTGGATGACCAGGACACCTGCGGCATAGATGGAGATAACGAGGAGGAGAATGAGCATATGCAGGGGTGAGGAGGATGCGCTGTCGGGAGAAGCTGCGGATCTTCTGTTTTCCTCCAGCAGATTGTTGTTTGCGCCCTGTATGTTTATGTAGCATCAGGCGAAGGCTAGCAGAGGAGCTAATGCTAACAGAGCTGCAACAAACCAGTACCTTCTGTCTCAGAAAACGCTATCAAGAATAGCACATTATATTTTGTGCACATTATATTTTGACTTTGGATTTCCGCATATGCCATCTTTTTCAAACGGTGTATTCAGATGTATGCTCCAAAATGGGCAACATGACAAGGATGAGTGCGGGTCAGATGCTAACGCTGCACTAGCTCAGCTGTCAGGCGTTGCTATGGCAGCTAGCGTTAGCTTCAGGGATGCTCATGTCAAAAGTCTCACACACATATGTTCGTTAAGCCCCATTCACAAAAACAGCTGTCGAGGGAATTTTCTCAGTCTCCCCAATACCGGGTTTGTGCGAATGCAACATCGAATACAGCCACTACTGCCTGCATGTGTTTTTGTTTTTTATCTGGCAATTTTAAAGGCTATATTCCCAGAACTATGCATACAATTACATTTAAAATGTAAAACTGAAATGTTGATCGAACATGGAAAGGTTGCCCCTCTAGGTTTTTCAGGCAAAATAAAAACCTTTCCATGGGTTCCATGAAGACTAGCAGGTGGGAAACCCTGCCTCCTTATTTTATCTTGTTTAACCCAAACTACCAATTCTGTTTTCAACCTTTAGTTTAAAGAGGCTCTTCTTTGCTCCTACCTGCTTGACCATAGTCGTTTTCTCTTTTTTTTTGCAGAAGTCCAGGAGGTGATGTGGGAGCCAAAAGAAAAAAGAAGAAACAGAAGAGAAAGAAAGAGAAACCCAGTTCAGGAGGTGCTAAGTCAGACTCTGCCTCTGACTCTCAAGACATAAAGGTACAAGGTTCACATCCATACCCTTACTGCTTTTATTAATCTTTTATTTTTCTTGACTTTTTGGTCAGAATCCAGGCTTGCCCATTCAGAAGCTGCAGGACATCCAAAGAGCAATGGAGCTGCTGTCCTGCCAAGGTCCAGCCAAGAGCATAGACGATGCAACAAAGCACAAATACCAGTTCTGGGACACTCAGCCGGTGCCCAAAATAAGTGAGCTTAATCTCCTGTGTAATGCTAGAACTTTTTTACACTGTCCACTGTCCTATTATTATCTTATTATCCGTAAATATTATTAAAACATATCAGATTCAGATTCATTTATTTGCCATATGCAGTAAAACCACTGAGGAAAAACTGTGCAAGACTACCCCAGTGTGCACCAGATGACACACACCAGAGCTCCTCTGCCCAATGTTGTAAAGAATACTGTAATGTATAAATGCTTTCCTTGACAGACGAGGTTGTAACAAGCCACGGCCCCATTGAAGCTGACAAAGAGAACATTAGACAGGAGCCATATTCCTTACCTCAAGGTTTTATGTGGGACACTCTGGACCTTAGCAACGCAGATGTGGTACGTCTTATTTTAGATGAGGAGTTTGTTATTCAGTAATTTGCTATATATAAATGTGTATTTATTTTTCAGCTGAAGGAATTGTATACTCTCTTAAATGAAAACTATGTAGAAGATGATGATAACATGTTCAGATTTGATTATTCACCAAACTTTCTAAAATGGTAAGCAAAATTCCTAATTAATGGTGTTTTTCTTGAAGGAGTCTTTATGCAATTGTCTGTGTTTGATCAGGGCTCTGCGTCCGCCTGGCTGGCTGCCTCAGTGGCACTGTGGCGTCAGAGTGTCCTCAAACAAAAAGCTGGTCGGCTTCATTAGTGCCATTCCTGCAGATGTGCGGATCTACGACACGTGAGCATCAAACTTTGTTACACCTCGCAGAATAGAGGTTTATTGGTCGTTGTCCGGTTGGGTTGGGCTTTCCTGCAGCATCAGCCAGTTTAATTTCACTCCATGGAAACTATCCGAAATTACAACTATACGATTTGTTCACTTCACAGTGGGTGGGTACCTTTTTTGCGTTAATCAATTGTTGTTTATTTGCTCGTGATATATGAAAGAAGCAGGGCCATAACGTCTTTCTTTGAATTTCTGGCTTTGAATCCTCATTTTTGTGGATCTTTTCAAACACAGAATGTATGGTTACAGCCGGGTGCTGATTGGTAGATTGTACTTCCAGGTCCTCTGGGCCATTTGAATTGCTGCGATACCTAACGTTACCTGAGGTTTGGGAAATTTGGGAGGAAAAATGTCATATTGAGCAATCTTCACATTTTCATATCTTCATATTTTGTTTCAATATTAACAATGACTGCAGTGAGTTGAATTGCATGATGGGGATAATGGCTTTGATTATTTTGATTAGTTTTATATTGCTTATATACAATATATTTTCTCACAGACTAAAGCGGATGGTTGAGATAAACTTCCTGTGTGTCCATAAAAAGCTGCGGTCAAAGCGAGTGGCTCCAGTGCTAATCAGGGAGATAACGCGACGTGTAAACTTGGAGGGCATATTTCAGGCTGTGTACACGGCAGGAGTCGTGCTGCCAAAACCCGTGTCCACATGCAGGTCGGTGCATTTATATCTGCATGACATTATTCTGAAGAACTCCTTTAACACCTCTGTTTTAACGCAGGTATTGGCATCGCTCTTTAAATCCACGAAAGCTTGTAGAGGTGAAATTCTCTCATCTGAGCAGAAACATGACTTTACAAAGAACCATGAAACTCTACAGGTTACCAGATGTAAATTGCATTTCTCTAGTGAAATTTCGCATATAAATTTAAACATTTTAGTGTTGATTTGTCTTATTTTTAATGTGTTTTTCAGAGCATTAAGACTCCAGGTTTACGACTGATGGAGAAGCGTGACATCTGCCAGGTGACAGAGCTGCTGCAGAAATTTCTAAAGCGGTTTCAGTTGGCTCCATCGATGTCAGAAGAAGAGGTGACACACTGGTTCTTGCCTCAGGAGAACATCATTGACACATTTGTAGTGGAGGTATTTGAACACTTCCTCATAAACTGTTACTGTGTATGTTCTGCTCCTAATGCATCTCTCCTGTTTAGGGTTCAGATGGTGTTTTGACAGATTTAGTTAGTTTCTACACGCTGCCCTCCACAGTGATGCATCACCCGCTGCACAGGAGCCTGAAGGCTGCGTACTCTTTCTACAACGTTCACAATCAAACCCCACTTCTTGATTTAATGAACGACGCCCTCATCCTTGCCAAAATGGTGAGATCATGTTTTAACATCAACTCTTTTTGATTGCATACAAACCAGATATTTGGGTTTCTTGTTTATGTTTGCAGAAAGGTTTTGATGTATTCAATGCTTTGGATCTAATGGAAAACAAGGTGTTCTTAGAGAAGCTCAAGTTTGGCATAGGAGATGGGAACCTGCAGTATTACCTCTACAATTGGAAATGCCCTTCTATGGACCCTGATAAGGTCAGCAGCACCTACACTTTGCTTGTCATTCACTGTGTATGTTTGGCATAGACATGCAAGGAGTGACACTTTGCAATATTTTTACTGCTGTTAATGATGTTGTTATAATACATAATCTACACAGGCTAAGCTTTTGGCAAACAGTCATGTAACATCTTGGGACTTTGAGCTTTCTGAGACACAATTAAAGTACTTCTTCTTTTCTATCATACCAAAATACGCTGGGATCTCTGTACACAGTTTAAAGTCAAAGTAAAACTTAATAGAATCTTGAATTAGTGTTGTCACTTTAATTTCAATGAAATGTCAAATACAGGCATGGACAATGAACTTATAAATTGACAGTTTTCACTTTTACTGCAAATGTGTGTGTGTGTATATGTGTATATATATATAAAAAAATGTAAATATATTGGCCTCTTTGACAATGACTGGTACCTCATTGACCCTGAAAAAAACATTAAACATGGAAATGTTGCATTCAGACAACGCAAGTCTATTAACTGTTGTCTGTTGATGTTTAGGTTGGCCTTGTGCTCCAGTAGAGCCGCTCCGTGACTTCGAAGGGACACAGTGGTGCAGAGGTGGAAATTCAGTATCTGAAAACACAGGTACCTGAACTGGACATGGCTCCACAGTGACACTGGCCTTGTGAGCTGCTCTTGGCATGTTTAAGGTCAACTGGAGCCGGAAACTCACCGCGTGACGTCATGCTAAGTCGACTCATCCAAACTGCTCCAGACATGCTGCATTTCAAAGTACTCGAGTGAACTACAGGGTGCCTTCACCTTGTTTTTTTTTTCCAACACAAACTCATCACAATAAGAAAGGCTTTTGTTTTAAACTGAAAATACACATTTATATCTGATAGTCGAAGTCAGATTTAATGGTGCTGAGTCTTGGGATTTAGTACAGTCATTTTTGAGCATTTTACAGCAGCTTGTTACATTACTAAAAATATCACATTTACCTAGGCTTTTTTAATAATTTCTTACGTTTGGTTTGTATGAAAGTTACATGAATGTAAAGCATTGTTAAAGCACAATTATGGGACTTAGTTTAACCAATAAACTTATTATCAGGTGCAATGTTTAACAAGACACATTTCAGACAGATGATACAATTTGCATCTTACAGCTTTTTTGTTAGTCACAAATATACTGTCATCTTTCCTACATCCAGACATTTCCAATGGATAATTCCATAAGTTTACAATATTTTAATAACCTGGTAGTTTTAAATGGCATTTTCTGTCCCAAGTTACATTTAATGTTTGCTGCTTACCTGTTGTTTTGTCCATTTTCTATATTTAGATTTTTTTTTAAGAGATTGTCCCTCTATGTGAGGCCTTTTGATTGTGTGTAATTGCGCTATTCTTTGCGTTGCATATATTTTATTAAGATGGTCCTGTCTGGATCTCCTGATCTTTCCCTGAAGATCCCAGTTTGCCTCTAAAAAATGTTGCCTGCAGCGGTTTGACTGAAGTTTGAGCATGTGTGTTTTTCCGGGTTATGTTTCTAGCTTCACCCTTTAGTAACAATCTCACCTAAAGAACCTGCCTTAGTTCCTTAAAAAAATAGGGGATATAGTATTCAATGATAAAATACAACTTTGACAATTTTTATTCAGATTCATTGCAAGCTATGAAAACGCTAAAGACTCTGTACCAGCGCCATTCAGATGTGTCCCCAGACTCCGAGAAAACAATGTCACACTGAGCTAAACCAGCATGGATATTTGAATAAACTCACTTTGGGTAACATGCGTTTTTAATTTCTTGACTGATGCAATGTACAAAAACTACCATGTCCATGGGTCTTTGGTCTATTCCTCTTACCAACTTTATTTTAAAGACTAGATTGATTTGTATTCTTACTGCTAACATCCCGTGTTTTAACTTGACGTTTAAGTAGGCGGGTGATTATCTTTCGACTTGTAAGAAGAATGAGCCCTGTGAGTCACTATTGGACGCATTGGGCTAAGAGCAATAATTGTCCTTTACTTTTCTGTCTGAAGTGTATGAAAACTGTAAACTAGAGCCAAACTGTTTTGAAAGCGAGGCATTAAAATATATATCGATTTAGAATTAATTGCCTACTTAGTGTTTCAAGCAACTCACATAAGGGTCATTTTATGCACTGAATAAAACTAGAAAGTACATTTCTTAAGTAAAGTTTCAGCACATTTGACAACTAATCACATTGGCATTTGTTTGATTACGCAATACTTTCTGTATTAGACATTGGACCAAAACAAAAATCCCTTGGTGCAGAATCTTCAGTGAAAAGCAACCACAGTTTTGGAAAATAAAGTTTTGCTGACAAACATTGATGTAGGAAATGTGTTCAGAGCACACAATGGAGAAATCTGAAAAATGATTTTAAATAATCCTTTACTGTGTATGCAAACATAAAAAAAAAATAGAACATAGTATTACTCAAAAATGCACTCAACATAAACAAGGCTTCATTCAACGATTTGCAGTTTTTGTGATTTCCAAATGATAAATAATGAAATTGTGATTCAGACTACTTTAAAGCCCAATATTGATAGCTTAATGGTCCGGGTTGAAACTGCTGAGAAATGGTTTTTAACTTTTCTTTTGTAATTTTGGTCTTCTCTTTTTATCAGGGTTTGCAACAATTTTTTTTACTTTGAGCGGCTGTAAGGTGCACACGTCCTGAACCTCTTCTTCCTCCATTTTTCTTTTAACCCCTTTTCTCTCTGCCTCCTCCAAACCCGGTCTCTGCAGCCATGTCACTCTGAGAGCAGGAACCCGAGGCAAAATAGCCTGGATCACATCTGTAAACAGTAATGTCTGACCGTCTTGAGGCTTCCTGAAGCCCAGAGCCAGGACACTCTTGAGTCCCATTGGCTCGCGCAGGGTGGTACTCAGCCACGGGACCTGGCAGGCGGGCACCTCTCTGCTCACGCTCAGTGCAATCAAGTGCTCTGTCATGTGTTGGGGTTTGACCGACTTACACACGAGCAGAAGCTGGAGATCATTCCTCTCCAAAGCTCGGGTCACTTCGTTTATGCCGATGGCCAGTTGTCGTCTCACTGACAGATCAGTCCAGCCGTTTTCCCCCGCACTGGGGGCTTTAGGGGTGTCCGATTGAATCCCCTTCTTTCTCCACGGTCGAAAACCTCTCTCCTCCTTCTTCTGGAACCCAGAGGACTCAAGTTTGTCTTTGAGAGTCTGCAGGATGAAACTCATGTCATCTTGAGGAAGGGGGCGCCACTGCGTAGAAAATGGAGAGGTAAAGTACGCCTTGGACTGGATGAACTTTTTCGCCTCCTTCTTTGTAGGTTTCTTTTGAGTGGAGGCCATGGCTGGGGGAAACAAGATTGTGAGAATATACCATAAGTTTGTTAGTTCACTTGACTAAGTATTCTTTACAGACAAGGTCACCTAGCTATAGCCAACCAGAGGAATTCTTGGTCGACTAAATAAATGCTCTTTTGATCGGTTATTCGACTAAAAAGGCGCTGGTGCAAATGCTTTGCATTCTAAAGATTCTGTTTCTTGAAAGTATATCTGACAGCATATACATTTTATATCTTACGTAGAAAAGATAGTACACAGTCTAGATGAAAAATGTAGTAAACGTTACAGTGAGGATGCATGTCGCACAATTCTAACATATATTTTGAGACATTTTAAAGAAAGAAGTAACAAAAACACACCAAACCGTTCGGGCAGTGCTCAAAGTCATAACATAATAGTAATGGGTCCTATATCGTATTCTACTTACCGTTCTTAAAGACAGCTCACTAGTTTTTCCACATTTTAACCGTGTTTTCGTTGCCTCCAGATTCACGAGTTCTCAACGGAAGCCGCCATCTTGAAACACTTTATGTGACAACAGCGACCTCTAGTGACGCGGGGCTGCACAGTTGAATTTTTTAGACACTTTGTCAATCAATAACCAGTGAATAAGCGAGTATAAGTAAATGCACACAAAGAATGAATCATTTCAGACAAGAATACATCTGGATAATGTTAGTTTTCTTTGTCATGTTTTATTAATGCGCCTTTCTGTAGTCTGATACTGTCTCGTTGCTGCAGGCTGCATTAGAGAAGCCGCCAGAACCAATCATGTTGTGAGTTGTTCGCAGTATCTTCCTTCTAGAGCCTTTCCTATTGGTTGATAATGTGCACTGCTGCATCAGCTGTTCACGTCCAGGATCTCTGCAGAGGGAGAGTCGTACATCAGTGACCGCGATCTGAATCTCAAGCTACACAATGTCTCATCAGGTAAGATTCTATTCATATTATGTTGATCCTTTGAAGAATTCCAGCACAAGTATTATGCTATCTTTAAACTGCATATGAACGAATATCCCATCTGACTTCATTTCTACCATCATGTTCCGCTACCTTGCCTAATATGTATGCATTCACTTCTTCTCTGGATTTATCTATTTATGCATGTATTTATATATGGACTGTGCCTTTTAATCGAATGTATCTATGGTGTAAATATCAATTAATACATTAGAATCATTATAACCTTACAACACAATAGCAATTAAAGCTGTCATTGTCATGTGCCAAATAATGAAATTCAATCCATGTATCTAGTTTCTAGCTCTTAGAACGGTTGGGTTAAATCCCTAGTTTTCACACACATGTCTTTTTGGGAATTTCTTTTATTTGCTTTTGCAGTGAAAATAAGATTACTTTCCCTCACTCACCTCTCAGTCTGGTTGGTTCACAAAACGTTATTAAAAAGGACTATTTATGAAACAAAAAAGTGGGGTACTCCAGCTTTTAAAGTACTCACAAACTTGGCCTTCTTTCATCCCACGTTTAGTGAACCACCTTCTGATTGCATAGTGTATGGTAAAAAGCTATTTTCTTATAGTGAATTTTATCAGACTAGATGTACTCCATTAACAACTGCAGTGTGCAGTGCAGTCAGTGCCCCAGATCTTTTGTGAAGTTGATTATTCAAGTTGGCACAGAACACTGGGCAGCAGTGAATGGGGCCCCATTGTTTCACTGCAGGCCGAGTTCTCCAATATTATGCAGAGGGTGTCTTGTGTCTTAATCACCTGTTTGATATGTTTTCTGCATTTATTGAATATATATGATTGTCACACACTTGGCAGAAATCGAATTAGAATGCATGTAAGTTATTAGAACCCTTATAACTCGCCCTGCTATAGTCACTTTTAATTTTATTTTACATAATATATCTTGCACAAAGGAGAGTTGGAGATGCTTTGACTGTTTCAGCTTCCTGATGGCACCGGGCATCACATTTTTCTTAGCACAAGAAAGTCTTTACTGTATCTGTGCCCTGAAGGAGGAGCTCAACGTGATGGAACAAAGAGTGGCTGTCATCGTCTGAGATCTTATTACGGAGACAATGTACAATGCAGAAACAACAAGTTTTCCGCTTTTCATGTTGTTGTTTTTTAATTGAAAGGCCCAGATATAAAGGTGGCACCCGTTCCTGTCCATTCCATTCAAAATCAAAAATTGAAACAATTAATGACAATGAATTCTATTTTTTATAACACTTTTTTAAACATTAACAGCAGTGCTCCATGTACAGAGTCACAAGCCATAAATATGTAGCTGAACGATTGCAATCAAAACAAAATCACAAATCTAGTGGTCGCAATTAGCAACGACGGCCATTATTAAACTAATTTGAAGAACAATTAAAATTGAAAACAATCTTGAATAGGTGAGGTTTCATGTATTCATACCTGTGAGTCGATTTTTGATAAGAAATTGATTATTTTGATAACAATATATTATTATTTTTATCTGAAAGTGCTGTAAATATGGATTTTAAACAGATTTGACCAAAGAACACAAAAAAATAAGGCCACTTGTGATTGAAGCAAGGTAGTCTCCGACCAACACCACCATCATTCACTCATGATTCACCAAGTTCATACAAAGAACAATATTTGCTATATCGTCCACCTTTAAGATAGGGTAAGATAAACCTTTGTCCCTCAGTGGGGAAATTTCAATGTCATAGTTGCGCTCATTATAGCACAATAGAAGGAGAATTAAGAGCACTCAGACTATGCACACATCAGACTGATTAAGATTAAAACATGATTTATTTGTCCCACAGTGGGGAAATTTCAGTGTTTACAGTAGGAATGAGGAGAATGTCATAACCCAGCTCAATAGAAATGACAGAAACACGCCAAATAACAGTTTCCAATTTAAATGTTTATTAATGATCTAATGTTAATATTTTAATGAGGTGTGGAAGTCTGTAGTGAGTGCGTGCAGTGTATGTGCTGTGAGAGTCTGTCTGCAGTGTTGAGTGGTGTGTAGAAAATAAACCAAAACGAACCAAGATGAACCAAACCCAATGAATCAAAACAAAGCCAAGCAAACCAAACCAGAGCAAATCACCCAAAGAAGTGGTTTGCAAAAATTAGCGCCGCTCCCACCTGAGAGGAAAGGCAATACGGCCTGTCAATGAACAATAACTATACTGAAATAAAAAAAATTAAAAATCTCTTTAGCAAAATAATGAAGCAAATCTAAATAAATGATCTAGCTTTAGCAAAATGAAGAAGCAAGAATTAAGTATAACATGAGAAATGATTTAAGAGAATATATATTAAATGGATGGAGTAGATTATAAATTAGTAATAGTTGTTGTTTTCTCGTTTGAAGGCAGAGTTTTCCAAGATGGCAGAGGATGTGAAGAAGGTGAAGACGAGGCCCTCTGACCAGGAGCTGCTGGATCTGTACGGCCTTTACAAGCAGTCAATAGTTGGAGACGTAAACATTGGTATGGTCTTTAGTCACACATGACAATAGTGTTTTTGTCATGCACTGAATCCGCTTTTTTTTCTCCACGTTTTTAGACAAGCCTGGGATGATGGACGTAAAAGGAAAAGCTAAGTGGGAGGCTTGGAACTCACACAACGGTAAATTGTCTTCTGGGACAAACAAGATAAAATGTTATGTACCACAGCTTGTGTATATTTATCTGCTGTATGCTTTTTTCTTCCCCCAACGCCAAAGCTAGCCACTACTTTGTCATAAAAGTAATATACAATTCATTCTGTCTCACTTTCAGGAACGTCCAAGGATGATGCCATGTCTGCCTACATCACATTGGCTAAAGAAATAATTTCAAAATATGGCATGTAATAAAGGGGCGACAGTAGCTCAGTTGGTAGAGCATTGGCCTTAAGGCCAGAAGGTCGTGGGTTCAATTCCCACCTCTGCACCTTCTCCACCGACTTCCACTGATGACTGCTGTCGTTGTGTCCTTGGGCAAGACACTTAACCCCACTTTGCCCAAAAGCCCCCACTGAAAGATCAAGGCTATGCTCACACTCAGAGAGCAGCCGTTCTCCTGTGGACTCACCACCTGCAGAGGGTCAGTGAGGGGCTGGTGCTATGAGACTTGGGTGGCATCTCTGATTGCCACCCCCCTGACCCAGAAATGGATTAAAGGGTAGAAAATGGATGGATGGATGGCATGTAATAAATTGAGATATTAATCTATTTGTCTTCTTAAAGGTACTCCAAATGAAAAAAACATGTTAACTAATAATAAATGTGACCTTTTTAAAAATATTTTCCTTCACCATTTTTTTGAATTGTTTTCACATAGACTTTGAGAGCTGGAGGACTCAATGCGCCATCTTGAAAAACATTGGTTGATAAGGGACAAAAGGATGCGAGAATTGCGTTTTCGTTTCACAGGTGCTACTAATAATGTTACTTCCATTGTGCCCTCACAAGTTTGAAGTAGCAACCATGGAGGACCACAGTTATGTAAAAGAACTACCCCAACAAAAGTCTAGAAACCAGCATCATAACAGCAAACGTGTCAACAACGTAAAACACACGCACATGTGAACAATATGTAACTTTCTTCACACAGACAGTAATGAGAACGAGGTAGAATCTGCAACACTGGTCTCAGAATGTTCTGATCCGTTCCGAGCGCAGTCAGGGTGTAAATGAACTGTACAAAAAAATGTACACCCTTTTCTGCAGCAATTTAATACATGAGGGCCATTGTCCCTGAATGCTACTGTAGTGTTGGCGGAAGAAAGTGCAATATGATCTCTAGATGGGAGTAAATTCTACACAGTTTACCTTTAAGGAGACTTTTTACTTCATTTCATTTAATTTCATTTTGTTTATTTCTTTTGAGCCCATAACATTACACATTTGTATACATAACAAGCATCCCACAACATAGCACAAGAACAGAATATGATTCACTAATGCTCCTGTGCACTGAAGAAAAATAAAAAAACAAAAAAGGTAACTTTGCACTTAACAATTTATACAATAAAATGTGATTTTTTTTTAAATGACAAAAGTCAGTCTTAAACGTTATGTTGAAATAAAGTAATTTGATTGTGTATGTTTTTTGTCTGTGTTTTGCACATATGTAGCTTCTTTATAACATAATCTGTACAATAAATGTGTCTAAAAAATACTATGAGTCTTTGATAGATGTATTTGATGATAACCACAACATTGTGAATTAAGAAATTGTTTGCCCAAATGTATGTTTAGGATTTTCAAGCAGATTATCCAATCAGAGAGTTGAATGAGGCTCTCATTTGGGTTGCCAGTTTGTTAGTTGACATTTTTCAGTAAAGAAATTGTCCACTCACCTTTGGCCCTCCGCGGGCGGTTATCCCTCTCTAAGCTCGAGTCCTCTACCAGAGGCCTGGGAGCTTGAGGGTTCTGCGCAGTATCTTTGCTGTTCCTAGCACTGCACATTTCTGGACCGAGATGTCCGAGGTTGTTCCAGGAATCTGCTGTAACCACTCTTCTAGCTTCGGGGTCACTGCCCCGAGTGCACCGATCACCACGGGCACTACTGTCACCTTTACCCTCCAGGCCCTCTCCAGCTCCTCTCTGAGACCTTGGTATTTCTCAAGCTTTTCATGTTCTTTTTTCCGGATGTTACCATCGCTTGGAATTGCCACGTCCACCACCACGGCTGTCCTCTGCCCTTTGTCTACCACCACGATGTCAGGTTGGTTCGCCATTACCATTCGGTCGGTCTGTATCTGGAAGTCCCACAGGATCTTCGCACGCTCATTCTCCACCACCTCTGGAGGAGTTTCCCACTTAGACCTTGGGGTTTCCAGCCCACACTCTGCACAGATGTTTCTGTACACTATGCCAGCCACTTGGTTATGGCGTTCCATGTAGGCCTTCCCTGCCAGAATCTTGCACCCTGCAGTTATGTGTTGGATCATCTCAGGTGCCTCTTTGCACAACCGACACCTTGGGTCTTGTCTGGTGTGGTATATCTGGGCCTCTATCGCTCTGGTGCTCAGTGCCTGTTCCTGTGCAGCCATGATGAGTGCCTCTGTGCTGTCCTGTAGACCAGCCCTTTCTAGCCGTTGGTAGGACTTCTTGAGATCAGCCACTTCTGTTATGCTCCGGTGGTACATGCCGTGTAGGGGCTTGTTCTCCCATGATGGGCTCTCCTCCAGCACCTCATCTCTCCACTGCCTGAGACATTCACTGAGTACGCCATCCGTTTTGGCCTTCTCCATGATGTAGTTATGGAGTTTGGATGTTTCGTCCTGGACAGTGGCTCTCACACTCACTAGTCCTCGGCCTCCTTCTTTACGGCTTACGTACAGTCTCAGGGTGCTGGATTTGGGATGGAACCCGCCATGCATGGTAAGGAGCTTTCGAGTTTTAACATCCGTGGTCTGAATCTCTTCCTTTGGCCACCTGATTATTCCTGCAGGGTATCTGATCACTGGCAGGGGGTAGCTGTTAATTGCCCGGGCCTTGTTCTTGCCATTAAGCCGGCTTAATATATATATATATATATATATATATATATATATATATATATACACCAAGAGCATCTCCTTGGTAGATACCACATTTGATGGTCACTTGTGCGAGCGGCTTGCCATTTGCCTCAAGTGTGGTCTTCCACATTCCATCGAGTTTGCAACGAAGTCCCTTAGAGCCTTGTTGATATTGTACAACTTCAAGCATTCCATGATCCATGTGTGTGGCATTGAGTCGTAGGCTTTCTGGTAATCAACCAGGCTGTGCACAGGTTGGTGTGTCGTGACCAGCAGTCTTGGGCGACTGTTCTGTCAACCAGGAGCTGGTGTTTGGCTCCTCTGGTGTCTCTACCAATGCCCTTCTGTGCTGTGCTCATGAATTAATATATTATATATGCCACTCAGATCCATGATGCCACTGAGGCATGTTTTTGACGAGGACAATATTGCATCATGGTTCATATAAGTTAATTAGAGTAAAGATTGTGGCTACAGGTGGATCAGGTTGCTTAAAGAATGAGATGTCTTCAAGTTTCAAATGTGTTTTCTTTTGTAATAAATGTTAAATTTATTACAGACTCAACCTCCTCTGTAGATGGAGTCGGCTCTGGCCCTTCTTGTAGAGGGCGTCTGTGTTTGGAGTCCAGCCCAGTTTGTGGTTCAGATGAACACCCAGGTACCCAAAAGTCCACTCTCTCAATGTCCCTTCCCTGGATGTTTACCGGGGCTGGAGGGGCAGAAATGGGAATCAAGAAGCATAAATTGTATTGATCTCACAATGGAGATTTTTTTGTTTGTGATAATGGCTCCCTCTGCTGGTGGGCCTCTGCGATCTTGAGAGGCCCACCGGACGCTAGCGTTGACAGCTCGGTCATCAAATGCAACAAGAAACTTTTTAATAAAAAGATACTTTTTTGTATCAATTGACTTTTATTACCAGCATTCTGATCATATTGGCAAGTAACAATGTTTAACTATAGCAAGTTCATATCTCATATTTCATTATCTAACTGACTAAAAAGATAAAATATTGATGAATGTGCTAACTCCAGCAGATAAAATACAAAGACACATATACAACCTCTCTCCCGTAATTACCCTGCGCAGAGACAATGTGATTGTCACTGTGTGTCTGTTTGCCTGTTGACAGGATGATGCAAAAATTGATCTGATTGATTGATTGATTGATCTGAAGTTTATTTGTGGGGTTGGGACCCGTTGTGTGCACGCTGTAGTTTTCTTCTGCTCACTTGGACACTCTAAGACGCTTTACATGTCATTATTCTTTCACTCCATACACGGTGGTGATAAACTACTACTGTAGCCACAGCTGCCCTGGGGCACACTGACAGAAGTGAGGCAACCAGTATGTGCCATCGGCTCCTCCGACCACCACCAACCATTCACACACACACCAGACTCATTCTAGGCAATGGGGGTAAAGTGTCTTGCCTAAGGACACAACGGCAGTTTGGCACTTTACAGCCACAGCCGCCCCAATGTGGCTGGTGTTCCCAGAGGTTAAGTGTCTTGCCAAGGACACAATGACATCAGACAGTGGGAGTCGATGGTGAAGGTTGGGCTAGAACCCACAACCCTCTGGCTCAAAGGCCAATGGTCTACCAACTGAGCTACTGTCGCCCTAAAAAGTGTCTTTAATATGGCCTCTAAACTGTAACCTCTCCTAAGTGTATTTGAAATGTGTCTCTTTAGATAATCACGCTCATATGATGTAATTTTTAGAGAAAGTTCATGCATTGACTCAAATAAATGGCAGCTGACAGTTTTACAGGCTCTTGATGTATTTAAACCCCTATTTTAATGACAAGTGGCCCCGTTTGAAATAATCTTTTTTAATCTTGGAAGGTAAAAAAAAGTTTGTTTTATGATTAGGTGGGATATTGTCAATGTTATTTTTAGTTCAAATATGGATGTTTTCTGATCTAAAACACTGACCTGAACACTGAAATGAAGACAAATATACAAGTATTAAAAGACTCAAAGATTTATTGTCAAGCTTTTCATTCATAATTATAGAGTGGGGGTGGGGAGTGAGGAGTAGGAGCACAGGGAGGGCAAGTAAAGGAGGGAGTTCAGCGTCCTGATTGCCTTCTCCCTGCAGGCATTACTTTGAGGGGCTGTTAAGGGTGCGAGTCCCAAGTCATTCTGACGGGTTTGGGAGTGAGACAGGTGGAGTGTCCTGAAAGCAGCAAATCCTCAGACCTTCCCAGTTTCTCTCACAATGCACTGGAGGCTCCTGCAGCAAGTGGCAGAGCTGGCATCGTGCTACACAGTGATGGAGCTGGTCAGGATGCTCTCGAGTCTCTCTGTAGAAGTTGCACATAACTGAGACTGGGACTC